AACTACATAATAGCACGCACGTATTTATCAGAAGAGACAACGTACAACCACCTCTGCAGCCGAACTACGAAGGTCCATTTAAAGTGATTACGAAGACAGATAAGACAGTCACGGTAAAAAAAGCAGGGAAGACAGACGTAATCAGTATCGATCGTGTGAAGCCAGCTTTCATCGATAGCGATTTTCAATCGACAAGCACAAGCCTCTCGAAGACGATCACACCTACGAAACACGAATCTCAGGAGTCAACGACGCTAACGCACCAAAACGAAGAGACTCCGATAACGACAAAATCTGGTCGCAGAGTAAGATGGCCGCAACGTTATGTCGCTACAATCTTTTACTGATAATTTTCTGCTACTTTGATTATTAATTATAATTCTTCCTCTTCATTGTATACATATGGATTATTAAATTCATGCTATACGCTATTAAACTCGGCACAGCTTATGTACACCCTTATGCTCATACGTGCAGTTTTTTTTTCGAAGCGATACCATATTCCTTCAATATCTTACCGCTATTTTGTATAGCCTAACGGACGGGCACGAACTAAATACACACTAACTTCATTCTAATTTTATACAAGCCCATATCTACGATTGATTGTAACTATGCTATTCAATTTACTGTACTTTATGCAAACACAGACATTTTTTCATATATCTTTGTTTGCAGGGGGGAGTAATATAGCAACCATCCTACAATCAATTTCGATTATAGCCAATTTTGGTTAAGCCCTTTTTATAACTTACTTAACAGACATTGTCATTGGGATAGTAACAATTTGCATATTCTTTGCACTGCAATAACACTAGAGCACATGACACTCTAGCCGAAATGTTGACTGCTTAAATATCATTCGATGACTCATACTCCTACCCATATATGTACGCACGCAAATATTATTATCAGCCTTTGTTTTGCTTTGCTGTGCCCTTATTAAATTTGACTATAAATTGCCTATGTAATTGCTTGCTACTCTCTCGCTCGCTCGCTTGCTCCTCGTTCGTTCCCTTCGCTTGTTTGCCTGTTCACTCGCTCGTTCATATTCGCTCAGGTGTTGTTAGCTTTCGAACCTGAGTCATTCGACAATAAACTGTAGTTGCTGCTATCCTTTGTCTTCTGATTTTACGCACCGTTAAGTTTAGAATTATAACGGTTATCGAAGTAAACGGTTAACGAATTGCGGCACTACACTATACATAATTTAAATGGCCGTAATTTAAATGTTTACCAAAAGGACACCTGGAGTCGGCTATACTTAAACTTCCATAGCTTCTTTCTGATAAGCTACAAAAGAGCTTTGATTAGAACACAATTCAACTGTGTACGCAGATTATGCTCTGACGTTAGAATTTAGGAGCAAGTAGCCATAATTGAACATTACTCATGTGAGAACGGCTATCCACAAAAATCCATAGGCAAATATGGAACGACTAGAAGAAAGCAAGTGGAGTATCCTACGGTTAAAAAAAAGCTTGTTTCCTTAAAACTTGGCTTCAAAAGTGATGAAATAGCTAGAAGGATTGATTTTATACTAAGGGCAATACTAAAAAGAAAGTATCTAGCGACAAAGTCGGTGTCACTATACAAAACCAAGTGCTCATTGCGACAGTTGGATGTGGACAAATATCCGCTTTATGTTACTTCCGATTGCGCTTATCAGTTGACATGCACATACCGAAGCACATGCATAAGAACAGAAAAGAGGAAGGAAGTCAGAGACGTAACCGCTGACCTGTGCCAAATTGCACGAAACACAAGTCCAGGGTTTCCTGTCGACTACTTACAACTACCACCTTGCATGAGTAACTGACAATGTTACCATGTAACCTCTTTGTATGAATGAATTGTAATTATTTATCCTGATACCTTGATTATAATGGATAGTATATTGACATGACCACAATAAAAGTGAGTTCTGTACAAGACAATCATCTCCACAAACACTGATCAGTTTAAACCTGGGAAGCACCTGTTTTGGGGACAACCGATTGCCAAAACAGAATTGGCTATCCACTTTCATTTTTTTGTAGCTAGTATTCTGATGGTTGAGCAGGAAGTCAAGTTCAAAATATGATGGAATACACATTTTAAAATGACCTATTTCCTTACTTTATTTGAATAAGATCATAGAGATTAATTCATTTACTGTTTTATTCTTTGAACAATGAACTGGTAATTTATTATTTGTTACATTTATTAAGTCTGTTTGTCTTCTTGAGTGTACATTTGGTGTAAATAGATGAATGTGAGTCAATTGACTGTAGTTGTAAGTGAAAATAATAAACTTGAGTTATCTGATAGTTAGCAAACATCTACAGATTATGATTATTTTGTCTACTTTCGAAAAATATTACCAGAGAAAATAAAATGACTGTCTATTCTAATCTTTAAGCATTTCTGACCAAGTCTTTTGGCTTGGGATTGCTTAGGAAGTGTATTCATGATAGTAAACCAGAACTGTTTGTAAACTAATTACAACGTAGTGATATTTACACAGTGCTTATCGGATTTGCGTTATACTAAACTTAAACATTTTTATGTCTTTATTTTATGTGAATGTGTGCATGCACCAAAAAGTTTTCGATTTGCAGAGGTGTTAGATTATTAAATTTCAAATAAAATTTAATGTTTTTGTTCAGATGTGATATACTCTGGCCTTTTTTAATAACCATAACAGAACAACCACTTATGGAAGTTGTTGATGCACAATTTCCTTCGAAATCATGATATATTATGGGTATGATATTTCTAGTAGTAGTTCTACCAAGTCTGTTGTAGAGATATCAACTCACTGAAGACAATTGGTGAACGGTTGCTCAAACATTATGGATTAGTTGAAGTTAGACATTAACACCATCGGATGCCGGCCGGCTCAGTAGTCTATCGTTCAAGTGCTCTGGCGCGAGACTGATAGATCCTAAGTCCGAATCTCGCGAGTGCGGAGTGGTGGATGCGCACTGTTGAGGAGTCCCATAATAGGACGAAACGGCTGTCTAGTGCTTACAGGTTTTCCATGGTGGTCTAGCTTCAATCGACTCATGATTTCGACTATGAAAATAGTAAAAAATTGTTTTATTTCTAAGTAGTTACCGGAAAATACAAAATATGTTAGATAGTCATTTGGTGAACAAGTTTGAAGCTGATATGAACATTCGTTTATCAAGGTCAGATAACATTTAAAAGTACGAATTCATAAAAAACAAGGTAGTTCTCATTATCTTATACTTTATTTAGCTGTATGAATATAATAAGACGATAATTAGGGTTCTGTTGCAAAGAGTTATTATTAAGTAAGATCCCAATACTTTAAAGACATTTTAGCCGACCTAAGATCATAATAGAAAAATAATTATTCCAACAGAGTATATTATTTCATAATATTGTTTATACTGAGTAACAAAACTAATCAAAATCTAAAGTCAAAACCTTAACTTATACTAATTTTCATAGTTGAAATCATGAGTCCACCACCATGGAAAACCTGGAAGCACTGAACGGCCGTTTCGTCATATCGTGGGACTCCTCAGCAGTGCGCATCCACGATCCCGCACCCGCGAGATTCGAACCCAGGACCTATCAGCTTCGCGCCGGAGCACTGTATACTAATTTGATAATTTAATTTGAATTTTCAGTTTTCTTCATTTATAGGACCAAATTCTCGTTTTCAATATTGAATAAAATCTACTATACATTGTTTACAAAACGAAATGGTATAACTTAGCTTAAGAACTTGATATTTGATAAATGGATCAAAATACTAAATATTATTATCAGAAGGAGTTTTTTGTGTGGAGATTTCAGTGTTTTCATTATTGAAAGCGTGAATCAATTGAAGCTAGACCAACAGGTTTTCCTTGGTGGTCTAGCTTCAGTTGACTTACGCTTTCTACTATAAAGATTATTTATTTATTTTTGATAATATTTCATTGGTTAACAATTTTTTTGCAAAACTGACTGAATATATAAAAATAATCACAGTTAATTGATCACTGGGTGATGATCAATGTCATGCGTGTCAAGTCCTTCTTAGTGCTGATCGAATGCTACCGATCAAGTTGCAATGTTGCCACTAATCTAGGTGGCTGGACACTGCGTGCACTATGATGAGATAAGACGGTGGTTGGAGGTGGTCAACAGGAACCCCTGGACCCGGACTTCGTGCTACTTGGCACTCGTCAGACCGAGTAACTCAGTGGTAACGTCTCTGACTGTGAAGCCGAGTGACGCTGGGTCGAATCCTTCAGGGAGCACCGGTTCCCTCAAGATTACAGGTACACCTTGCTGACGAGTGCCAAGTAGCACGAAACCAGGGTTCAGCGTTTCCTTTTGACCACCTCCAACCACCATCTTATATGAAAATAATATTGTGGTGTGGTCTACTTATATCCATATAAGTAGTATATGGTGTTGGTCAGACATAGAATGTATTTTGGCAGAAAACCGATGAGCAAAGAACTGAAATGAAGCGCAATCGTTTGGAAAATGCATGAGCAATGAAATTAGAGAAGAAACAGAGAAGATTGAGACAATTGGTTGTTAATTTGCAAATTGACTGTTCATTGTTTGGTTATCAGAATTTACTGAGATAGTCTGTAATGTTTGGCTTAAATACATTCGATTGTCCCTAACCGGTGTTTTGTTCACTACAATATAATTGTTCGTAAAGATAGTGCTAGTTACTATGAGTATAGAAGGCATCAACAAACCAAAAACAACTCATTGATTTTTAACTTCTGAGAGTACAAATATGTTATACTTCAATTTATATCCAATTCTGCTCCTGTAAACTATAATAATCTTTAGGTAATGAATTACAACAGATATCGTAACTAAACATTTTGTTTAAAGAAAACAATATTATTAGAACATCATTTATCTATGAATATAACAAAAATAGCTGTAATACAATATTGAAAAGTTTTGTAACTTAGTATTACAACTGAACTCGTTTAAATAGTTATTCAATGATGTAAAATAATTCAATTAATAAATCACTGTGATCCATTATGTGAACTAGTTTCTGTTCCGGACTGCAAGGTTTCCGTAACCGTAGACTCTGTTTCTGTTATTGATACAGATGAAGGTGTACCAGATCCCAATACATTTTCTGTTGACTTTGATTCCAGAGTTGTAGTTGGTTCTGTTGTCATATTTGATTGGGGTGTCGTTGAATTTATGGGCTCAGATGTCCCCACTGATTGAAGCTCCATAGATGTTGTTGATAGAGTTGGTTGATTTGTTGACGTTGGTAATGAACTCTGAGTAGTCGTTGTTGTTGCTGACATAGATATCTCTAATGGTGAGGAATATGAAAGCACTGTTGACTCAATTGTTGCCACTGATTGGAATGACGCTGGTGTTGTTAACCCAGATGAGGTCGACGCTTCTGGTGACTCGGATGTGGATATCGTTGTTTCATCAGATCTGATTAGTGGCGTTGACTCGGTTTCGTCATTTACTGTCGAATTGGATACTTTTGTCATCAAAGCCTCTGATCCGTTGTTTGCTTGCATAGTTGCCACGGTCGATTCCTGTGAGTTCATTTCAGGTGTTGTAGAGGTTGCCATTTTTTCAGAAGAATTATTTGAAGTACTTGGTGTATATGTTGTTTCACTTGACATCTCGACATCCCTAGATTTTTCTGTAGATGTTTCTTTATTGATTGTAGCAGTACTAGTAGTGGTTTCAGCAGTAATGGTATTAGTAGGAGTAGTAGTTGTGCCTGTAGTAGTACTAGCAGGAATAGTAATATTATTAGTATTAGTGGTTGTTGTAGCAGTAGTAATCGTAGTGGTAGGAGTAGTATTAGTGGTAGTAGTAGTAATGATGACCTTAGTAGGAGAAGAAGTAGTACTGCTAGAAGCATTATCAAGCATAGTATTAACAATAGGAGTGGTGGTGGAAGTACTATTTGCTGTAGAAGTAATGGCAGTAGTATTAGTGAGAGTATTAGCAGTAGTAAACGTGGTGGTATAAGTAGTATTAGTGGTAGTATTAGTAGTGGTGGCATTTGTAGGAGAAACAGTAGTACTGCTAGAAGTATTATCAGGAGAAGTATTAACAATAGGAGTGGTGGTGGAAGTACTATTTGCTGTAGAAGCAATGGCAATGGGATTAGTGGAAATATTAGCAGTAGTAATAGTAGTAGACGAAGTGGATGTAGAAGGGCTAGTAACAGTAGTGGTGGGAGTAGTGGAAGAAATAGCAGTAGTACTGGTAGAAACATTATCAGGAATAGTAGTAGTGGTGGGAGTAGTGGTAGTTGTAGAAGTAATGGCAGTAGTATTAGTGAGAGTATTAGCAGTAGTAAACGTGGTGGTATAAGTAGTATTAGTGGTAGTATTAGTAGTGGTGGCATTTGTAGGAGAAACAGTAGTACTGCTAGAAGTATTATCAGGAGAAGTATTAACAATAGGAGTGGTGGTGGAAGTACTATTTGCTGTAGAAGCAATGGCAATGGGATTGGTGGAAATATTAGCAGTAGTAATAGTAGTAGACGAAGTAGATATAGAAGGGCTAGTAACAGTAGTGGTAGGAGTAGTGGAAGAAATAGCAGTAGTACTGGTAGAAACATTATCAGGCACAGTAGTAGCAGTAGTGTTAGGAGCAGTAGAAGTCGTAGTAGCAGTAGTAATAGTAGTGGTAGCCGGGGTGGTAATAATACTGGTGGTAGTAGTAGTAGTAGTTGTCGTAGTAGTACTAGTAGTCGTGGGAGTAGTAGTAGTGGTGGTAGTAGTAGTTTCCGGTGGTGGTGGTGGTGGTGTTGTTGTTGTGTGTAAAGTCTCAATGTGGCTCAATATCGAGTTTAGATCTCCCAAACCAAATGGACCATTTTGACCATTGCTATTGTCATCATCGTTGTCATTATCATCATCGTTATCATTTTCGTCATCATTATCACTGTTCTCATCATCATCATTATCATCATCATCATCATCAACTACCTGAGCTTTAGGACGAGAAGGAACACTGAAAGTTTGGTTAGTTTCAGAGGCGGGTTCTGTAGATTTCACAAGCTGCTTATTTAATTGGATCGTTGATTCAGAAACGGTTTTACCATTTCGGTTAAAATTATTATTCTCAGTTACCACAGGAGGTAAACTAGATGGGGTTGTGGTATCCATATATGGAGTATTCTGAATCTCAGATGAGACGTTAAAATTTGCCTCAAGAGTTGAATTTTCAGTATTATTTGGTGCTATGGTTATGCTTGCTGGAGTAGATTTGATGGGCTTCAGTAAAGGCGGAATAGTTTGACTGTTCTCTGAGTGATTAGTATTTACTGAAGTGTTAATAACTGTAATTGAACTTCCGAGTACTGTTTGATGACTTTTCGAAATAACATGACTGTAATGGGCAGAAATTTGTGTACCATTTATTTCTTGTAATGTCTTAACTACTATTGATGAATTACTAGTGGTAGTTTGAATTACAACATTTCGTCTAGTAATCAAGCATGCGTAAGGCAAACGATGTTCACAATCACGAGCTTGCCATGTAAGTCGTGCAATGTCTAATGATAGACAATAAGTCATACCCTCTGCAAGATTATTTGCATCATCATCAGTTATACCCAATATTTTTGCAGGAGCAGTTCGACCATCCGACCACTTTAACATCACTTTCCACTTTGTAGCGTTTGCACCATATACTCCAGTCTGTCTTGATCTTATTAATTTACCCCCTGTCCAATATGATCCAACTGGTACTGTACCCATGAGGTTTACCAAGTGTATAATCTGAAAATTACAAAAAAGCACTTGATTTGTATTGATTACATTATTATTATAAAACATATAATTTAGTATACAGCCTTAGTGAACACCTGAGATGGTGGAGAAGATTTTTAGCTCAGGTGGGTGATTTTTATGTGGGTTTGTTCTCTGAGCTGGATGGTTTGGTCGTGGAGCTTTCATCGTCCTTCTGAACGACATCATCAGCACTAACTTCGGGTAGAAGTGAAGTGTTTGAATTTCTCCACATGTGGTTCACAGCTTGTCCTGTACACCTCGATGTTGATTGGTTCTTATTGACCTTAAATATTTTCCATCCTAAAAGGCAGTTGATTGGAGGTCTGTATCTTGCACTTGTTGGTAGAACATGCTGGCGAATGCACTCGTGGAGAAAATATAGTTTTTCTCGAGTGGAAGCTTGCCTTTTGGCGAAATTTTTCCATTTTCGAACAACGAGAAGCATACTTCGCTCGTATGATTTTGAGATGGTGGAGAAGGTCAGTAAGAACCAATCAACATCGAGGTGTACAGGACAAGCTGTGAATCACATGTGGAGAAATTCAAACACTTCACTTCTACCCGAAGTTAGTGCTGATGATGTCGTTCAGAAGGACGGTGAAAGCTCCACGACCAAACCATCCAGCTCAGAGAACAAACCCACATAAAAATTAGTGAATACCTAATTGAAAAGTAATATTTCTTCGCTCTAATGACTTTTTCCTCAGGATATGAATTCTACGATTAAACAGTTAATTCTTTAAATCAATAAATCTGAATTAGAGAGAATTATTCGAGAAGACACTTATTTACCATCCAAATTAATGAGTTCAAAAATAAGTATAGTGAAAATAGCCTCAGGTAATAATACCTGGTGTACATAATTTACACCTGAAGTATAGTAAGTAAATTTGAATGCTCTTCCAATCTAAAACTGCAGGGTATTTTCAAAGCGTTCACTTAACTGAGCTAAAGAATTATGACTGATCAGTGTCACTAGATAAAATGTCCACTTTTAGAAAATCAAGGACGAGTTATTGACGAAAAGCCTTCTTTGGTATTGATTTTCTGTAACTCATAAATTAAGAAAATCGCCTTAACTCTTTAATGAGTAGAATGATTTTAGTATGGGGATCTCTGTAAAATGAAGTAATTACTCCCTACCCTCTCATTTTAATGTTGCAATGTAATGTTATTCCTAAATAAAAAGATCAATACTTTCCCATTGCTATAATAATTAGTATAATTGACAATTTATGGAAGAAATTTATTCAAGATAAGACAATACAGTGAAAATTCCCATCTTGAAACAAAATGAACGAAGAGACTTCTTTTCAATTAAATGATCTCTTTAGTGATTTTCAGTTTAAGAATTGTAAAACTGACATTAATGAGGTTCTGTACTGATCTTCAGAGAATTTCCATCCATTCTCACAGTGAAGGATACTCGATTACTTCAACAAATAAAACAGCCCTTAAAGTATATGCCTCATCACCCTTTTTGCTTACTGTTTTTTTTCTTTCCACTCAAATCATGAGTTCCTAAATTTACTTCAGGTAAAACGCCAGATTTAATGTTTCACTGGATTAGTACTAGGATATTAGATAATAAAAGTCAGTTCATTGTAATCGTACTAAATATTTAAATGAAAGAATACAATAAAGTATGTTTACATATTTACTTTAATTTGATTGGTCACCTCATGCATCTGATTGTGTATTTTTTTATTTTATTACGTTTACAGAACACCCTTAGTCCTGTAAATGTCCATATGAATTCTAAATTGTAGGCACACGTGCTTATAACAATACGCACAACAAAGAAAAATGTCAATAAAAATTTATAATGAAGATTTAATAAGAAAAAAACACTTATTTTGTTTACAGTGTTATTTTGTCACTGGAATTATCCACAATATCAGTATGGAGATCGTTGTATTCAAACAGTTAAATTCATAAGTCGATTTACATTAGACAACACTAAATGGCCGTTTCGTTCTAGTATCGGACTCCAAAGCAGTACACATCCGCGATTCCACACGCAGGACTCAAACTCAAGACCTCTAATCTTGCATACGAACGCTTAAACTGTAGATTACTGAGCCGAAAACTAACGCTGTTTATTTTATTATATACATGTATAATAAATTGAACAAGATAAGAAGTGATAAATTATAAGAAAAATCTCAATGAAATAATAGTTAATTCAAATAATTATACTGTAATAATCTCTTATGAATATAATAAATAGGAATGATGTATTTGTAAAATCTCAGTGAATGAATTTGAAGTAAATCCAACGTTTCGTTTGGCAATCTCATCCAAGCCTTTTCAAGGAGTTATCCTTGAAATTCCTTGAGAAAGGTTGAACCAGATTGTCAAACGAAACGTTGGATTTACTTCAAATTCATTCACTGAGATTTTACAAATATATTCTTCCTATTTAATGTCCTTACATCAACTTGGCGCCTAAATACTGTGAAACTATTCGTTCTAATTTGGACGAAAGTTCTTATATATCATAAATATAATTTTAATTATTTTAATAATTCACAATTCTACGAACAATTTATTTATTATTATCAGAAGGGGTTTTGTGAAGATTTAGTATTTTCATAGTTGCAAGTGTGAGTCAATTGAAGCTAGACCACTAAGGAAAACGTGGAAGCACTTAACGGCTGTTTCATCCTATTGTGGGACTTGTCAGCAGGTAGGTCCTGGGTTCGAATCTCGCAAGGCAAGGCCGTGGATGCGCACTATTGAGGAGTCCCGCAATAGGACGAAACGATCATCCAGTGCTTTCAGATTTTCCATGATGGTCTAGCTTCAATTGACTCACGCTTGCAGCTATGAAAATTTATTTATTATTTAATCCTTTATATACTACTCAAATTACATTCAAATATTTTCAGAAGGGGTTTTGTAGAGAATTTAGTATTTTCATAGTTGAAATTATGAGCCAATTGAAGCTAGACCACCATGAAAAACCTGGAAACAATGGATGGCCGTTTCGTCTTATTATAGGACTTCTTAACAGTGCGCATCCACGATCCCGAACTCAAATATTTATTCACTGTTTTTCCCCCTCTATCTTTGTACTGAGGTTGAATATATTATCTAATCAGTGCATATCATCATTATTGTTACATATAAAGAGAACTATTTAATATAATGAAATATTATGACGTATATAACATTAATAAATAAAAGTGCATAAATGTTAATATAACATTGAATATTGACTTATTTATTTATTTGTTTATTTATTATTCACGCGTTTATTTTGAAAAAACATTCAATAATTTTTTTTGTTTTATTTCTTCAGAAAAATAAACTAAATAATTTATAATACCGAAAAATGAGTGCATATTATCATATTAAATAAGTAATATATCTAGAACAATTTTATCATATTTCTAATGAAAACAATATTATTAACAGTCTAATGTATTTACTAATATTAATTATAATAATCAGTCAGTCAGTTAGTCAGTCACAACGTAGAAGTTTGTACGTACGTACGTACGTACGTACATCAGTTCGAGTTGCCATACAACATAAGCACAGAGATGTATTTGTCCATTCAAATCCCATAGTGGTAGAAGTAGTAAGAGTATAAATAGTAATGTGAAAGATTAGGGTTTGAAGATGTTATTGAAGGAGTATAATTCAGTGAAATAAATTTGGAAACAGAAAAATGGATAGGGACATGAAAAATTCAGAAGATTAGAATTTGGGAGAACATAAATAATTATAGGCTATATCGAGGCAATATTGCACAGTATGTACATATATGCCAATAACAGACTGATCAGTTGCAGTCTTAAAACATCAATGGGAAGATACTAACAAACAATACTAAGTGAATATAAACTTCATCGTATTGCATAAGCAAGTGGCTATCAGGACTCAGTAGTTGAGTGGATAACGTGATGGAGTTTGAAGCAAAAGTTACTAGATTTGAGTCCCAGAGTAAACATCAACTCTAAGATACAGGTACATCCAGCTGACGAATGTGAAATATGACAAAACAAACATCCTGGATTCCTCTACTAACCATTATCCATCTTTCCTTATAATATCATAATTCAATTTATTCAATGTACTGATAATGTTCTTTCATTCAATTAAACAATGTATCACTTTTTCTAAATCAATCAAAAAGAATTTCATTTAGTTTAATATAAAACTTGATAAGTAATACAATTTAATGATAAAGTCCATTTACATATAAGTATTTGATTCAACAATAAATTTTATCAATTATTTATTCTTTATAAATAAATAATAATAATCTTTTTCTATTAACAAATACACTTATTAGTAATAATGTATCCTATCTGAATTCATTGCCAAATAGATGATATATTCCTTATCACATTGAGAGATTTTGAAACAATATAATAATAATTTTTTTTTAAATATAAAATAGTCAACAGATTAAAAGTACAATTTTTTCTTCTTTTTTTTTTTTAATTCAATCAAATATGATATTAAATTTCCAATTTTTGATCAATACCTTTTTTCTTAGTGTATATCCTCCAAAATTAATTTATATGGTATATTTTTTCAACATCACCTAAATTTATGATACCATAATAATTTATTTGAGCGTAATTATCCAAAATCTATCATTATAAAACATTATAATATAGGTATAATATAGCTATAATATAGCTATAGTATAGCTATAGTATAGCTATAGTATAGCTATAGTATAATATAGCTATCCATCTCTGCTTACCATAGGTATCTTTAGTTTTTTCAATTTAAGTGAAAATTAAAATTAGTTATGCTATATATTCTTAAATCATTTAAATTAGGTCTACATCAAAAACTGAGTTTTTTTATGAGTTTTATTGATTATTGTACAGTGAATTGACAAAACTGATTAAAAAATTATAATGTTGTAATTAGCAATCTATGATTACATTTTAATTTGACAAGTATAACACGATTAGGTTCATAAATCTTTCTGTTTCATGCGATATGATTTTTTCGTCACATATTGGAAATCTTTCCATTAAATATCTCAGTGAATATCAACTATGGGATGAAGATACATCCAGCTGACAAGTCCTACGTAGGACAAAACGCGCGTCCTGGATTTCATTATTAGCCATCAATCATCTTTGCTTAGAATCGAATAGATGATGGATTAAATCTTCAGTCAATTTGTAACAATATGAATTTATTATTACTATTACTGATTGCAGTTTTTAGTCCGCAAGCCAAACGTCAAATATTTACATCTACTTATTAACGAAGGGTAGCAAATTAGTCACGAAAATAATTTCAACTAACTGATTTTGTAATCGGACAACAACACCGATGAGTTCTGAATCAAGATGAGTTTTTATCATGATAACTAATAAGAATGCTTAATAAAACAATCCTTAATCAAATTAAATGTGTCACAACTCATAAAAGTAGGAAAATCAGTTAGATTATATGACTAAAAGTGAATAAAATTGTATGTTGAATATAATTATGATAAGCAGTAATATTAAGTAATACTGGTTGTAGAAAGGAACATATATCTACTTATGAGTTGTTATAGCCATTCAGCTCATTACTTGTTACTATTCGATAGAGAAAGTTTGCTCAAAACTTCAAAGAGGATAAGTTTTAATTAATATTGTTTGTTTGGATCTTCCCATTGATGTTTTTAGGACCGCAACTGGTCAGTCTCTAATTGACATATGTGCATACTGTGCGTATTGCCTCGATATAGCTTAAATTCAGAAGCATTATAAGCAAAGATGGATAGTGGCTAGCAGTGGAATCCAAGACGCTCGTGACCGAGTGGATAACGCGATGGCATTTGAAGCGAAAGCTACTGGGTTCAAATCCCAGAGTGAAAATCAACTCTGAGATGCAGGTACATCCAGCTAACGAATCCCAAATAGGACAAAACGCGCGTCAAACTGGATTCCATTGATAGCCACTATCAATCTTTGCTTACCAAGAATAAGTTTCCCCTGAAAACCAAGACACTGATTACTTTATGTAATGTCCTCAAACCACAATTTATGTATTGCTATTTATAGACATTCTTTGATCCATTACTATTGTTAAGTTAGTCATATTCATCTTGAAATGTATTACTTCATTCTCCCTCAACCTTTTGTTGATAATAAAAATTATTTCAAATGTACAGTTAGATTGTGACAAAGTATTTCGTTATAGACTGCCGTCAAAAAACTTTGGTCTACACTGACGAAACTCAGTGTTTAAGAAATGAATATGTAATACAACCACGAGATTATTTGATTTCTAGTTCGATTCTTAAACGAGTTGTTATATAGAAATATTGTTAATTTCATCCTTTTTGTTTCCAGATAATTATCAAACTTAATTTAATGTATGATAAGACGCATCTTTAAATTAATAGAGTTCCATAAAACCGTATTAAAACCCTATTGTGTAAAATACAGATACCAACCAATCAAATTTACAGTGAAAGTGATTTGAGAATACCGACAAAAATAGGACATACGTGCAATAAGTGCTACAACTGATTTTAAATATTTTGGCCAGTGAAATAGTCCTTTTTGAACTGACTTTAACTAGATGACTCCCGAAATGCAGTGATCATTAAACAGTTGTTTTGCATAGTAAGGGACACAATAAACTAGATCCACTTATCAGATGTTAGTCTAATCGAATTTGGTTCATAGTTTACATCATCTTCAAATTAAAAAGTTTTTAAACACCATTCATATTAAAAAAATAATGATATACTTTTCTTCTACATTATTAGTCTACATTTATTAAATCTTAAGCCTCCTAGGTCTTTACTGGTGTAAAACCATAGGTTTTCACTGATAAGGAGTTTTGAACTTCCTGATTTTCAGAAGTTTTCTACCTAGTGTTAGCTCATAACGGAAATCATATCTAATTAAGTTTTTATGTAAATACTTTTCAGCTGTATGGATCTAAAGATTTGTATTTCAAATACACTAGACTTCCATGTCTTTATTATTTTTAGAAAAGTGTTATCTTTTTCATGTTCAACAATTGTTCTTATTTTATAAATATCACACTAAGTAGCTTCTATTCTTAATACAAAACAATATAATAAACAGATATTTTTCATAGTTGAAACCATGAGTCAATTGAAGCTAGACCAACAAGGAAAAAACCTGGAAACACTGGACGGCCGTTTCGTCCTATTATGGGACTCCTCAACAGTGCGTATTCACGATCCCTCTTCCAGGTTTTTCATGGTGGTCTAGCTTCAATTGACTCATGATTTCAACTATGAAAAATGCTGAAATCTCCACAAAACCCCTTCTAATCTATAAACAAATATGTAATTTAATCCATTTTAAAGAGAATTTCCACTTTGTAATTATAATCTCTTTTTAACTACTTGAAAAGTGAATAAAGAAACTTGAATGTTAGCCATTTGTTTATTCCTTTTCAAGCTAATTTGAAGTATAGTACAGTAATCAATGAAAACTTTATAGATTACAAATTACCGTAAGTTCATATGACATGTATTTAAAAATGATAGTTAACACTTACCTCATCATTTGATGCAACAGATAATAAATGACCTTGATATAAATCAGTTACTTTAAGATTTCTTTTACTTGATGCATTGTTTGTTTGATTATTTAATGGTGAAGTAATTCTACGATTAGTTATAAATCGATGACAAGCTAATTCAGCTTTTGTTGCAGTTAATCCCCATACTCTACTACCTTTTTCACGTGTTGTAGCTAAAATAACTCTTCCTTTTATAGAATGTCGTCGAGATGAATTAGTGGAATGATTTGATGAAAAGTTTTTAGATTTTAATGAGTTTATTGAAGAATTATTAGTTTTATTTAAATGATTATGATGTTTTATTAATGGTGATAAAGTTGTGCTGGTAAATTCAATAGTTCTTCTATTTCTATCATTATTTGTAACTGTTGGCAAAGTTGTACTTTGTATAAACTCTGTAGTATTTATTGTCTCATTTAAGAATGAATTATTGAAATGTAGTGAAGTGTTTGTAGAATTTGGTGAAATTATTGATGAGTTAGTTATGTTACTACTCAAAGAACTAATAGTTGTTCCTGTCAATGGTGTTTCAGTGGTTTCCCTATTTGTTGTTGTAATTACACCATGAGTTGTTATGGGCTCATTAGTAGTAATAGTTCTAGTAGTACCTGTGGTAGGTATTGTTGTATTAGTGGTAGTAATAGTAGTAACAGTTGTATTACCGGTAACATTTGTGTTGTTAGTTGGTATACAGATTAGAAAATTAACAAAACATATTAGTAATACTAGATGAATAAATGATAATCTAATAATCATGGTATTAACACATATATATGTTCAACAAGACTAATTTAGCCTTTTTTATGAGGTTATTTAATACATTTATATGTAAACTTGAATTTATTTAAGATAATCAGACAATGATAAACCAATAATAATGTCAATTATAATGCACTTAGACAAAATTTTAGATTCAATATCATTATTATTATTGAATTTTTGGAGAAAATTATTTATTTAAACACATAAATATTGGTACAAAGGGGAACCAGATATATATGTGCCACATAAATCTCATTGGATTTGTGTGAGGGTTGTGATACTGTCCGGGTGCCCAAACCGAAGCAGGTGGTTTTCTTGGGAGGCCACACCCAGAGCCTTTGACCTAAAGATCTGATCCACAAGGTAGTGGAATATCGTGAGGAGATGCAGTCTCATGGTAGCCGGTGACCAACGATTGATTCATACGCCATTTGTTTCTTCAGGATACTGGAGCCCATGTACACCATTAGTTTGGAATCAGGGTTTTCCAACTCCCCTAGGTAGACCCTCCGTGTCTACCAACCTGGTTAGAGCACCGGGCATTCGCTTTTCGTCCTCTCAATTTCGTAGACAACACCCCCGCCACGAGAAGTCAGTGAGTAGGACTTCCGTGGCAGAGGATGTATGCGCATGGCCTTGTGAGAGCAATTGGAGAGGGAGAGCGGACTCTCCCCACTCTCGGCCATACCAGGGCATTTGGGGGTTTTATAGAAAAAAATTAAAGTGACAAATTGTCAAGTAATTATGAAAAGATTAAACTTACGACCTAAAAGTATATTTGATAAAATTAACTAATTAGGTAAAAATTAATTATAAATTACAACTACTTTCTAAAGAATTTTTATATAAAGAAAAATAGTCTATATTTTACTCATTGATAAGTGAACTTTGTCCAGATGATATAATACGAACGTTCGTTTAAATTAGAACGAATAGTTTCACAGTATTTGGGCGCCGAGTTGATGCAAGGATATTAAATAGGAAGAATATATTTGTAAAATCTCAGTGAATGAATTTGAAGTAAATCCAACGTTTCGTCTGGCAATCTGGTTCAATCTTTCTCAAGGAATTTCAAGGATAACTCCTTGAAAAGGCTTGGACGAGATTGCCAAACGAAACGTTGGATTTACTTCAAATTCATTCACTGAGATTTTACAAATATATTATTCCTATTTAATGTTTGTCCAGATGAGTTTTAAGAAAAACAAAAAATAATCATCATCGTTTGTATTGTCTTGTATTTAGAACTCATGTTTTTTTCGATGTAACAAATGAAGAGACTATTATTGGTATATTTATTTAACATGTTTTTAGATTCGGAAAAATGGATTTTTATTGGACTTTGTCTGTGAGAAACTTTGCTTAACCTAATTTAAGTACTAGTTGACATTTATTAACAAAGGATATCGTAAAACTTAAGACAACAGAGGTTTACTGTTAAATCTGGATCTGTGCCACTAGTCTTCATAGTTTGAGACGTTACTCTTGGGCTACTGAGAGACTAAATAATCTCTTATGCGACTAGTATATTTATATTAGTTAATTAATAATCTTTATGTACTGGAGAAATATTTCATGATGATTTTTATAAGGAATTTATAACTTTAGCTGTTATTAGTTATAAACCAACAACAATAGCAGTACTTTTGGAAATCAGATAGCACTAGGCTGCTGTATCATGATAGATTGGGATTCTTGAATAAAGAGTATACACGACCTTGCCAGAGATCGAACCGAGGACCCACATGTTTTGACTAGTAAGCCACTGAGTCGGTACCTTATGGCCCTAATTCGCAACTTTTATCAGCATGTATGCTATATTTGTTGTCCCTTTGGGTATCATATGATCGCTTGTTTTCATTGGTATGATTCATCTCCTACCACGAATTTTTATGAATAAATAAAATTTATTAACTTCAAATACATTTTTCTTCAGTGTCTCACCAAAAAAAGTGATACTGAGAAGTCATATATTTTCATTGAAAGCATTTACTTTTGGTGGTTATCTAGTGCTATAAATTTAGAAACCTCAAATGGAGTATTTATTATTACAGATGAATTGGTTGATTGCATATGTTAATGATGAACTGCTTTATTCACTTATATTGCACAAACTTATCCCCAGGTAGTAAATAATTTCATGTTCGTTTGGCTATTAGTAACAATTCGGTACAATCCCTAAAGCTTCACTGTGGCTACCAGTCCAAGTGACTCGTAACTGTCTCCACTAAATTAAGATGTGACTTGGTTACCGACATCAATCCTTTAAAAATCAAAACTAGTGTTCTTAACAAATACTTTCTGGCATATAGCTTATCTCTACTGCTTCTTATTGATCGTCTTCAACCATCAATACCTAGAGTCAATCTATAGTCTTCTCAATTGACAATGTAATATGTATCAAAATTATGCTTATTATTTCTTGCATACTTTTTTTAGTGTTAGAAACTGTTTAAGTAAACTATTTTTCAGGGTAATATTCATCACAAGCTGAATTCAACTGAGAAACCATTGAAGACCACGAAGTCTTATTTTCTCTTTCAGTTTTGTTTATCATTTGAAATTGATTTATTAGTTTAGTTATTGATATGATAAAACTTTAACCTACGTTTTTATGCAAAAAACATTTGTTTTCAGCAAGCCAATATACCATACATACATATTTCTGTTTAAAACTAAAAAAATTTCTCATATAAAATTTTCACATTTATAAATTTCATTAAATTATACATACATACATACATACTTACTTACTTACTTACTTACTTACTTACTTACTTACTTACTTACTTACGTACTTACTTACTTACTTACTTACTTACTTACTTACTTACTTACTTACTTACTTACTTACTTACTTACTTACTTACTTACTTACTTACTTACTTACTTACTTACTTACTTACGCCTGTTACTCTCAATGGAGCATAGACAGCCGACCAGCATTCTCCAACCCATTCTGACCTAGACCTTCCTTTCTAGTTCTATCCAACTTTTGTTCATTCTTCTCATATCTGTCTCCATTTCTCGGTGTAATGTGTTCTTTGGTCTTCCTCATCTCCTTTGGCCTTGAGGATTCTATGTGAGGGCTTGTCTTGTGACGCAGTTGGGTGATTTCTTCAATGTTGGTTCTATCCACTTCCAGCGCTTCTTCCTGATTTCTTCCTCCACTGGTTTGTCGTCTTCCACAGTAGAATGTTGCTGATAGTGTCTGGCCAACGGGTCCGAAGTATTTTGCGTAGACAACTGTTGATAAGCGCCTGTATCTTCTGGATGATGGCTTTCGTATTTCTCCACGTCTCGGCCCCATACAGTAGGACTGTTTAGACATTTGTATTTAAACTTCTGATCTTGGTGTTGATTGACAATTGTTTTGAGTTCCAGATGTTCTTCAGTTTTAAATATGCTGCTCTCACTTTGCCAATCCGTGCCCTCACATCTGCTGATTAAATTATACGATACATTTAATCCATAAGAATTCACAAAATGAACTTTATATCGTCCATGCTTAGATTCATTAAATACATCTTAAATAGAAATACATGACAATTAAAAATCAATTGACAATTAGTTAAACAATACAATTATAATTGATATTTGCTTCTTCTAGTGGTAACTCCGTCTGTATCTCCTACAGAGGCTACTGCCGGTCCCAAGACCAGATAACGAAGGAGGGTTGGGCATGGGGTTAGCGACCCCATCCCGTAGAAAAACTATTCAAGTAAGTTTTCTAGTAGTAAAATACTTCTATAAATAGTTATAAATATTTGGTAAATATTACAGATATCCAATATCTTCCATATTTTCTGACTGTTAAAATAAAATCACAGAATTCAAAATAAGTAGTATTCTTCAAACAATTATATCATTCAAATAAATTGAGCATAGGATAGAAAGTCAATAGCAAAAATATTTTTTTGCTATATCCCAATGAGTAGAAAATTTGTACTTCTGACGCTTCGCGACTTAATGTAAACCATTTCTTCAGAGTAAATAAATAACCGAATTAAATTAACGCGAGTTTAAATAGTACAAAGTAAGCAATGATTGTTTCCTATGTACTAGGTTCGATCCTCCGTGGGATTGCAAGTGTGCGCAGCTGGGGAGTCTCGCACTAAAGCGAAACAACTGTCCAGTCCTTCCTAGTTTCAATTTCTTAATATCAGTCCACAAAGTAATCTATTAAAAATTTATTGATCAAACTTTTTGTCCTAATATTTTAATTGGGATTAGTTACCTAACAGACCAGCTATCCACAGACTGTCGGTTAGAATCTGAATCATCTCCTGCTTTTAAACAGTTTTGATCACCACCATTTCCGTATATCAACTAAATTATATATTGTTTGTGACATTTCATTGAAAGTGTAAATTAATTTCATAGTGCCAAACAAATCTTCATTTCGTCAGCAAGGTGTATCTGTAATCATGAGGGAACTGGTGCTCTTTGACGGATTCGATCACGTGTCACCCAGATTCACAGTCAGAGACGTTACCACTGAGCTATTCGGGCCGCGACCGATCTCCTGTAGGACTGAGATGTAATCAAAATTGATTGATCACTAGGTGGTTATCAATGTCGCGGCCTGAACAGCTCTTATCTCAACATAGTGCACGCAGTGTCGAGCTACCTAGACTAGTGGCCACACTGCAACTTGATCGATAGCATTCGATCAGCACTAACACGGAATTGACACGTATGACACTGATAACCACCCAGTGATCAATCAATTGTGAAATCTTCATTTCGATGCATTTAAATAAAGCAAGAACAATGATTTTAACAGAATATTATAAATTCATTCACTTCGTGGATTATTTTCAGCTACCTTCACCTAAAAGTAATAGCATTATTAATCTAGAAACAAAATGATGTACTTCTAGGATTTACTAGAATATTCACATGAATAATGTGAATATTTGTCAGAATTCTTTGAGATGTATTATTGTTTCATTTATTCTCACTGAGAACTTTAAGAAAAAATTTAAATAAAG